TAGCCGGGGATGACAGTCTATTCTGGACAGGCCGAGGATGGGGGGACTGTGTGATGTAAGAGTCTATTTTTTTCCTGCGTTCCTCACTCTGGACACTCAGCAGGGTAACAGCGTTACCCCCTCAGCTCTGGATGGGAGTCAGAAACACTTTGTCTCTCTGCTTCTTTGTTTGCATCGGTCTGTCACGTTAAGTTCACAAGAGTCAAAGACATGAGCAAGGTTGTATTTATAGTGTGGGCTGATGGATGAAGTATGTTGGGCATTTCAGAGGGATACTTTATGAAGGCTTACTGGGTTTAGGTATGAAGTTGGGCTCTGATATATTGTGGTGCTGTGATGGCGACGGGGTCTAGTCGTACTCTTGGATCATCTTCTTTTGATGACAGGTTGGAAACTGGCTCAGAGTTACTGCCGTTGCTGTTTTACAGACTGACAACACAGTTAGTCACCTCTGAGCACCCCTCCATCATGTTTTGTACATACGAGTTCTTTTAGTAGGTATAAGATAGTTTCTCAGCTTGGAGTGCACCTTGCCACTAAACCATCCATCCATCCATCCATTTTCCTCCGCTTATCCGGAACCGGGTCGCGGGGGCAGCAGTCTAAGCAAAGATGCCCAGACTTCCCTCTCTCCCGGGGTTGGGGCTCGAATGCGAGCGCCTGGTGGCTGGGCCTCCCCTCACGGGGCCCCACCGGGCTTAGCCCGAACGAGCGACGTGGGGACGTCCTCCCGTGGGCCCACCACCTGCAGGAGGATCCGTAAGGGGCCGGTGCACAGTGGATCAGGCAGCAGGCCACTAAACCAATCATGTTTAAATGTCTTATCTTTCAGACGCTTTGCTAGCAGACTTGGAATCTACTACATCCCACATCTCAAAGCGACCTGTGTTCTTGCCTGACGAGACCCCCTACTCCATTCCTACCGGAGGGCACTCGTGCCAGGATGTGTCAGTTCCATCTCCAGTTCCTCCCCCGCCTTCAGCTGAGGGTCTGAATGGTTCCCTAACAGATCAGCCAGACTCCCATCACTCCTCACAGCAGGTACATCATTGTATGGTTGTACCGTAATACCCTAACTCATTTGCTCACTTTTCTCTATAAAGCTCAGAATTTTAAGTGCTTTACCAAGAAAGGAGAAAAAAAACAAATTGATAAATTTAAAAAAAGAAAAGACAGTTTTGAATTCACATTTTATTTGTCTCGGTGTGTCTGTGTGCATTTGATTCTTCTTTACCTGATCACAGTCTCCGAGTCCGATCTACAGACTGGTCATATCTGCAGTATGAGAAAATCCAATTTAGTTGTTCACCCTTTTACAGTTAAATTGGTGCTTATTATTATAAAATTAAAAAGTGAACTCTCAGATTAATTTAAATTCATTTTAATGGCATTTTTTTGTCCTGTCTTGCCTTTCGTCAGTGGTTTAGCCTGACTGACTGATGTATCCTCTGCAGTCGTTAGGTTCAGCCCAGAAGAGCTCATGGTCCAGGGACAGCAGCAGCTCTCCGCTGTCTCACGGTGAAGAAGACCACGTCTACAGGTAGCTTTCCAAACCCTTCGGTGTATGTGTTAATGGAGCCTTGTGGAGATGTTTATAAATAATCAAAAGGTACATTCAATGTTACTCACCTAGGCACAGAGTGTACATCCTTTCTGTTGAAGAAATGTTATGCAATTCCTTTACTCCTAGAATATTTGCAAGATTTAAATGTTGTATTGTTTGCTTCCATGTTTGCTTGTTTAGTCATCCTCTTTGTGTGTTTTGGCACAGCGCACTGCTTCTTTTTCACTACCAATGAATGATTAGTGCATTTGCATGAAAACTGATGGCAGAATTGTGTACTTTGTCACCTTGTTTTAAACAAAATGTGCACCAACTTGTAAAGCTTTGCCCCACAGCACCAGCACATACTGGTCAAAACCCCACAGGGTACATTTTAGGTCACTGTTATCATCTGTTGTCTTGTCTTTTACCTGTAGTTTTATTGACTTGTGTCTTTGCAGTTTTCCAAACAAACAGAAGTCATCAGACTCGTCAGCAACAGCCATGACCTCCAACCTGGGCAGTAACCTCTCAGAACTCGACAGGCTGCTGCTGGAGCTCAACGCAGTGCAGCAGAACTCCCCGTCGTTCCCTACTACAGGTAGACACAAAGTCCTTTTCTTTATAAGCTGTGTTTGTTGTGAGCAGAGTTAGTTGTACTGTTATGTGTCCACAGAGGAGGCAGCTCCACCCTTACCATCCTGCAGCATCACCCACTATGAGAACGGCAATGCCTCTGACATCATGGTGAGCCCTCCCCCTCAGGAGAAGCCCAAGAGGAACGGAACAAGGTTGGATGAGACCCGACCCACTGTGGAGAGTCTACTGGATGAGCTGGAGGGCTCTGTGCCTTCACCAAGGTACAGACAGTGTCCACACTACATCTATGTCTCGTTCAGTGACTTTCATTAAGCTGAAAAATGACAACCTTTGAAGGCAAAAATGTTTGCTATCATAAAGATGGACAGATACGATAATGGTTTAAATGGGGATAACAGCACACATACCATTTTCGCTCACATGCATTCATGCTGTTGCACTCATTTGTCCGCACAGAAAGTGGAAGGAGAGGTGTGAAGAGAAGTCCAAAGCTGCCTGTTTTATTTAGGAGAGTTACCAAAATTGTCAGACACAGCAGACACGGGCACTGCATGTCCAACACCAGGGAGATGCAGAGGGGGGGGTGTTTCAGATGCTGTTCTGACAAGTAGAATGATGAGTAAGCATATGATATATGGGGTCAGCTCACCCTGAACAGAGGTATCTAAAGCTATGCTGGGCAGTACAAGTTGTAGAGCCCCGACATGTCCTGCTCACAGTTCCAGCTGACCGTATACAGTACAACACTTGTTGGAGCTGCTACAAGAGCTGTTCTCTGAAATCGCTGTGGCTGGAGAAACAATTTGGCTTCCTATCAAACATCTTGTGAGAACATTCACCGTCTGCATGTAATTACAAATCATAATATAATTTGTATTTTCCAGCCCCCCCACTCGCGACAGTGATTTGGACACACCCTCCCAGCAGCAAGCCAGAATTTCAGCTTCCTGTGCCACGAGAGAGCTGGATGAGTTGATGGCCTCTTTGTCTGACTTTAAGGTAAAAAAGCAGTACGAGTAAATATGGGAAAAACGTCAGTTTATCACAACACAAAAACTAGGAGTTCTTTTCACTTTTGTCATTTTCCCTGTGAGTTTCCTGTCCTCTTTCTTTGCTTACTCTCTCATTTCTCTGTTGTATAGCCCAGTTCTTTGGGCTCTCTGCTGGAGCCAGCAAGAGCATCTCCCAGCTCTCCTCATCCTCCAATCTCTTCCTCCATCACCTCTGTGGCTTCTACTTTCCCTAGTCTCCCCCAGCAGGCTGCCTGTGCCTCTCCTCTGTTCTGTATGCCAGCTGGTTTAGAGCTGCACATAGATGAGGATGGAGGAGATGGTGGCGTGTCAGTGCCCTGTTTGAACGGTCTCCCTCCCAACAATCCTCTAGTCTCACTGTCTGCAGCCAGTGACCCAGACCTGGACTCTCTCGTAGATGCCTCTGCTGCTATGCTGTCATCCCAAACCAAGTCTCTGTTAGTCCTCTCTCAGTCTGCTTCCTCTAACTCCAGCTTGATGAGAAATAGCCCAAGTCCTTCCAATACCACCACTACCCCCTCACTTAGCTCCGTTAATACCGTCCTGGACCACAAGTCCTCCAAGTCCCCTAGTCCATCTGTTGAACGAGTCTCACCCTCAACTACCAGTAAACTTTGTGGTGCTCCTGAGACTATGAGCAAGGGCTCCCCTTCTTTTAATGGTTTGAATTTCTCTGAGCCACCTCCTTTGACACACCTCACCCCACCTCTCTCAGCTCCCAAGGCTCCTTCACCTTTCCCTTCTGCTTTCTCTATATCTCCACCTTCTGCTTCCTCAAAAACTCCCCCACCATCTCCAGTCTATCCTGTGATGGTTCCCACTTCACTGCCCCTCACTAGCCCCAGCAGACAGCAGTTGGAGCTTGTATCCTCCATTGAGAGAGCCAGTCCCCTTGTTGTAAATCAAGCCCCCAGGCTAGAAACTTCCCTGGACCAGGAACTAGACAAGCTGCTAGCTCTAAGCTTTGCACAGAGTCCCACTGCAGCACACGTAGAGGAGCCACAGCTGACGATGGAGGCACAGCGCCTGGGCAGAGGAGTGCAGGAGGTGCATGAGGAGCTCATCCTGCCCTTGGACAGAAACAGCGTGCAGCCTGACACTTTCACCAGCACCACTAACACCATCACAGACGACTCAGTGGATGGAGGCACTGATGGAAACAGAGATCTGGACTGGGCTGATGAGGAGCTGTCCATGTCCTTCCATGATGGGCTTGATGGCACTATGACGCCTTACACTGAGAGGCTGTACACAGATGGCAGCCTGACGCCACTGACAGAGGCTAGCTGGATGGATGAGTCCATGACCCCGTCTTCATGCCCTGGGACCCCTGACGTTGCCCTGGACCTGCCCCTGCTGCAGACTCCCATTGTAGACAGAGTCTCTGCATCTGGACATGTATGCATCTCCATTCCTGACAAAATGGGCTTGATTTGCTCACACTTAACTGTGTTGCTTTCGCATGTGAGACTGCTTCTTTACAAGCTAGTGTCAGCTCTGAAAGATTGTCTTTTTGAAAAGCTGAAACATGACGCCAAATATTTATCATAGAATTTTAGCCTCTTGTCTTTTATACAAAAATATCACTGACTATTTAGTTGGTATTCAACAAGTCTTCATTAGCACTGTTGTGACTTAGTCAGTTAATTTGCAACAATTTTAATACCTCATTAGTCATTTTAGTAGTTCATTAAGAACAAAACAAAAATATTCAAATCTCAAATATTAGCGCTTGCACTTTTCAGTTTTATGTCATTTTAAATTGAATATTGGTCGGACAACACAAGACAGCTGAACATGTCTCCCTAGGTTAAAAAGATGTATTCAACAAGTCTTCATTAGCACTGTTGTGACTTAGTCAGTTAATTTGCAAATTGAATTGAAGATTTATAAACATTGAAAATAAGATGCAGCCCTAACTCTAATTTTACTGTCCAGAACAGCATTAGTTAAACATTCAACTTAGAATATGGAGGGAAAATGTTTCATTTTATCAAAAAGAAAGGTGAAAGAAATCCTCTGAAATAACACATCCCCAGACAGAGGCTAATGCAACAGAGGCTAACTTTGTTGTTGCACATAAATAACTCACTGACTGGTGTTAGTGGTACTTACATGGCACATGTAAACCACAATGGGACCAGTGGGATCAGATTTATGTGAAGGACGTGACCTGTTGTGAAGTTGGCGTGGTTGCTCGTGAGGGCTGGCAGGGAGGTTCATGGATGGAGATGGCTGAGGTTTGAAGGCATCTGACATAAGCATGCGAGAAGTGCATGAGGTGTGACACTAAGCCCACTGACCACTGCACCCTGGCTTGTCAGTGACTTACCCTTCTGCCACTCCAGAGCTCTGCTGTGACTGCTTCCACTGATTTATAATTGGTGTGGACATGATAAGCTGCTCACCATCCTCCTTAGATAAAATCAGTGATTAGGCGCACCAAGGAGATTCCCAACGTGCACCCCATGTACCGAGATGGTAACCTGCGCAGGAAGATGGGACCCATGATTGTCAACAAGAACAGCTCTCAGGACCGCCTCATAGAGGAGCTTCAGGGAAAGCTCGGGATCCCCCGCTCAGAGCGGCGGCGCAAACAATCTGACGACTGGCTGACTGAGGGTGTCATCGTCTCATCCAGACCCCAGCGTTTCCGTCCTAGCGGGGCCGGCGGTGAGGTCGACAAGGTTGGCTTCAGTGCGCTCAACACTTTTCTCAAATATTTTTCTACAGTTAATTCACCTTTAATGCTCTCCACATTTTCCTGTCTGTGTCTTTTCCCTCCGTTTCTGTTCTCTGTCCTCCTTCAGATCATAATTCCCCCCGAGTCTCCTGTCCCTGTCAGGAAGGTGCTCCCCCCTCTTTCTCCCCCTGCCCCCCGTCGGGCTACTACTGTGGAAGAGCCTAAGCGGCCACTACCAGGGCAACAGCCCCTTGTCCCTATACCACCTCCTCCTCCTCCACCTCCCTCTCCCCCTCCACACCCTCCCCACATCCAGGAACCAGTTGCTCCATCAGCCCCAATTCAGAAACCTCCTGCCTATATACCAGAGCCCCCTCCTCCTGTTCTTGAAATCCTAGCCCGGCCTCCACCAGTGGAGCCAGTGGCACCAGTTCCACCCAAAGTCCTGGTGTCTGTAGGCTGCCAAACAGAGTATGACCCAGTCTTCCCTCCAGCGCAGGCATGAATCCTTGTCTCTTTTCCCTTCTGTTTGTCACACTCTTAAGAAGCATACTGTGATTATCACACACATCTTCAATACATGCTGTAACTGTTTTTACAAATGCACTGTTTCAGATTATGGCCCAAGGGAAGGTTGGCGTTCCTGGTGGGCCCCCAACACAAGTGAATAAACTTGACAACATGCTTGGTAGCCTGCAGTCGGACCTCAACAAACTGGGTGTGCAGACGGTAGCTAAAGGGGTTTGCGGTGCCTGCTGTAAGCCAATTGTGGGACAGGTGAGATGCTTTTGTTGAGATGAATGTATGTGCGTTATAAATCTATGATCATTTGAATACTAAAAGCACAGTCCACTAGGTGGTGACCGCCATGGGCCGCACATGGCACCCTGAACACTTTGTGTGCACACACTGTCAAGAGGAGATCGGCTCCAGGAACTTCTTCGAGCGTGAAGGGCAGCCCTACTGTGAGAGGGACTATCATAACCTGTTCTCCCCACGATGCTACTATTGCAATGGGCCCATACTGGATGTGAGTCTTGGCTCCTTACATGTCTGTGTTGTTGATGACAGTTTACCAACAATAAATGTGGCTCTGTCTGTTCAGAAAGTTGTGACGGCGCTGGATAGAACATGGCATCCTGAACACTTCTTTTGTGCCCAGTGTGGATCCTTCTTTGGCCCCGAGGGTACTGTGATTTCTGTACATTGAGTTATTACTGTGACTTTTATTTATAGGCAACATATTTGACTGATAGTTTGTGTTTACTGGATTGATTGAAACCTGTTTGTGTTTTTCCTGTGAAGGGTTTCATGAAAAGGACGGAAAAGCTTATTGCAGGAAGGATTACTTTGACATGTTTGCACCAAAGTGCGGTGGCTGTGCCAGAGCCATTCTGGAAAATTACATCTCGGCACTGAACTGCCTTTGGCATCCTGAGTGTTTTGTTTGCAGGGTCTGTATTATACTATTATGCAAAGTACCTGAGATTCTTCATCATTTTATGACAAGATATTGTGATCAGAATAGTCACATCCACCTCTGTCTGTGTCTGCAGGAGTGCTTCACCCCGTTTGTGAATGGAAGTTTCTTTGAGCACGACGGCCAGCCTTACTGTGAAGTGCACTACCACGAGCGCCGCGGCTCCCTGTGCTCTGGCTGTCAGAAACCTATCACAGGGCGCTGTATCACAGCCATGTCCAAGAAGTTCCATCCGGAGCACTTTGTCTGTGCCTTCTGCCTGAAACAGCTCAACAAAGGCACCTTTAAAGAACAGAACGACAAACCCTACTGTCATGGCTGCTTCGTCAAGCTGTTCAGTTAGGGAGGGAGAGCCTTTAACAGTACCACGTGTGGGTCAGGTCTGAAGTGTCTAAAGTATCTGGTGGGGTGAGAATGGATGGTGTTTGTGTCAAAGAAAGTTGTCTTCTGATGATGGCATTGAAAGTGTGTATGTGTTTGGTCCACTTTTAGCCTGCCAGCAGATTATCTTTTTAAACTTTTAAGGTTGGCCTATAGTTGGTCTATAGGCCTTAGTGTGATGCAGACATACTGAGTGTTAAAAGGACATTGAACGTTTTCAGAACATGACATGGTAACATTAGAAGGGTTTTAGTAATTAATATTGATATGCAGAAGACCTCACTTTTCCCCCAGTGTCTTTGAATGTGGCTAAGAGCTGTTGACCTTTTTTGTAACACTCACATCATTTGGTTTTCAAATCTTTTTAGTTCTTACCTTTATAGAAAGTGGTGAAATTTTACCAAACACTGTAGAAATCCATGCAAAACATGTTTGCTTGCTTGACATTGTTGCTCACTGGTTGAGTGTGTAATTTAGAAAACGTTAAAATCTGAGAAGTACAACAGGGAACAGGTGACCTGTTGTTTGTAGCATTACAATATAAACTATTTTTACAACTGTTAAGGGCAGTAAAAGACTTTTAGCTACCTTTTTATGGCATAAAGTTCAATTGAGCAGATGGACAAACACACAACTTTGATTATATCATTGACTGAACATGGGCTAAGTCAGTATTTGCAGTTTTTTTTGTATGTGAGAAATTGATTGTAGTGACTTTAATCTCACTCATTTAGCCTAAGACAACAGCTATATACAGGATAAAATTTCAGAAGTACCAGATTGTTATTTATAAATGAATCATAAAATGTATTGAATCAGTTTTATACAGAATCCAAAGCCAAACCATGCAGCAATGAATATTTTACAGTGATTGTCAATGAAGAAGTGCAGTATATGGCCATCCACCAGTAGCTGCAGTATTCAGTCTTTGTTACATGTTTGAACAAACCTTGTGTTTGTGCTGCCAAATCATTCCTCATCTTTTCACTGAAGAAAAGAGAAAGCAGTCTGAAACTGTGCATCTTAGCTGTCTCACACAGCGAATTGCAGCCTTGCAGGGATATTGGAAGTATATTATGCAGCTCTTAAAGCTACCATTACTGTTTGAGTACATCGTGAGAAGTTTTCTGTAAATATCCAATGCAGCTACATTGAAAGGAAAGTGTTGATGTCTATAAAAAGCAGGCATTCAGCTGGTAAGAGGCCAGTGCAAGGATACTTAGATATTTTTGGGGTCATTACTGTTAGAGAAGATGATGATGAATATTCACTGTTCTGAAAGGAGAAATACATAATGCAGGAGCATATGTAAACTTTGTCTGAAATATTCCAATAACTCCTTGCTTCTGTGGATTAGCAACTTTGTATTTCAGCACCAGCGTGTGTTTTTTAAGTAACAGGTTGTTTGTGCCGTTCTATCATTACCACGTCTAATAACACTGGCAATATACTGGTAACAGGCCATTAGTCCACTGTTAATTTTCATGTCATTAGTCATGTGAGTGCTTTGAAAAATGGAGGCTGTTCAAATGAGAGCCTGGTTGTCTGAATAAATCATGCGACTAAGATGACTCGTTGCGGCTTCTGAGTACTATATGACCACCAGGTCAGGCCTGCACATGGTTAATCATGATTTGCAGTGGATGTATCGGGCCTTTTGTCTTTTTCAGGGAATTCTAGAGCCTTAAATCTTTTCTCACTCTATTTAAGAGATCATGTAACAGTTGTCTTTTTGAATCAATTTAGTAGACTGTTATTTAACCAAAGCCATAACTTTTAATTTGGTTTTCTGTTCACTATTTCCTTTTCACTTTAAATGTCAGTAGTTAAGAACAGTGAGATCACCTCCGGTGTCATTACACAAATAAATTCTGTTTTTGCTATCAGAATGCTATCCAAGGGCTCCATTTGTGATATGCTTTCACTTGGTGCACGTAGGCTTAGGGAAACGCTGTGTAAGACAGATATTAATCCACATGTGCAATACCTCCATCATCCTCTTCCTAGTTGAAGACTGAACAAGATGAGTCTTAAGCTGCTTAGGGGCAGTCCGATCCTCACCGGTGTGTGCGCTCCAAGTTGATGCTGAGGAAGTTCCATTAGAATTTCAGTGGAAGCACTTACTAGTAAATTATTGGATTAATTTGAAAGAGCACATTGATAATCAACCAACTAAGAAAACCTTACAGATATGTTGGGAAAGAGAAAGGGCACAAAAAGAGAGCTTTGGTTGGACACATAAGCTGTCTGTATAGATGTAAGTAATCACTTGTGTAGTCCTATGGTACTGTGGCCTAGTGTGGTTGTTGATTAGCCTAAAGGTGGATCTAGAGCTGAATAAAATTAAAAATAGTAAGAAAAATGTAGATTTGGTATGGGAGATTTATAACAGAGAGCAAAAGTATTCAGAATTTTATTAAAAGATCTTGAGACAGGGGCTATAGGAGCAGCAGTGGTAGTGCCCAGGTGTAAGGCTGGATTTAGGACTACTAGCTGAACGTATATGCAGGTGAGTTGTATGCAATGTTGAAAGCTTAAAAATGAGTTGAAGAGGGTACATCAAGTAACATTCTCATATGTAGTGATTCATTTTTTGTCCTCACAGGTATTGTGAGGCGTGTTCTTTACGTTAATGCATAATAAATTTCACACTGTGAAATATATATACTCAAGGATAAGTCAAGTTAAAGTCGTCGTCATGTGGTTTCCAGCACATGTGGGGATACTGGGAAAAGAGAAGGCAGACATACCAGCTAAAGAACCAAGTAAAAAGGATATTGAAGGCAACATTAACATGTCAAAGTCAGAAAGGAAATGTTTATTATGGAGAAAAATGACTCAAGAATGCCAACAGAGGTGGGATCATGCAATTAAGGGAAGGCAACACACATAGATACCAGCTTTCGTCAAACTCGATTTGACAGTTCTAGGTGAAAGGTTATCCAATCAGAATCGTTGTCCCGCCCCCCACCCTCCCCCCTCCCTCAATGAAACTGACTGTGGTCCACCAGAGCTCACAGCCACTGGTTGTGTTGTCCACTTTACCTCTACCTACAGCTGCTTTCAGAGCTGATCAAACTGCCATAAAATGCAAAAACAGACACAACGTACAGTGGGTACAGAAAGTATTCAGACCCCCTTAAATTTTTCACTCTTTGTTATATTGCAGCCATATGCTAAAATCATTTAAGTTCATTTTTTTCCTCATTAATGTACACACAGCACCCCATATTGACAGAAAAACACAGAATTTTTGACATTTTTGCAGATTTATTAAAAAAGAAAAACTGAAATATCACATGGTCATAAGTATTCAGACCCTTTGCTGTGACACTCATATATTTAACTTAGGCGCTGTCCATTTCTTCTGATCATCCCTGAGATGGTTCTACACCTTCATTTGAGTCCAACTGTGTTTGATTATACTGATTGGACGTGATTAGGAAAGCCACACACCTGTCTATATAAGACCCTACAGCTCACAGTGCA